CAGGATAGTCAATAAGCACCGACCCAGATAGTCAAGTGTAGCATAGAAGGAGGAAAAATGGAAACAGGCAAGGAAAACCCCGAATACGAACCAAGGAGTGGCCGGGAATGCAATGCACACGACCAACCACAAAATTTGTAGTGGAGGGCGCACATACCAGAGGAACGTCATGGATATCTGGGTGCAGCCAGTCACCGAAGATAGGCAAGGAATGAGCGTCCAGATAGGAAAAGACCCAGGTGCTGACAACGAAACCAAAAGCACCGAAATGCGGGGCAGACCCCACAGGACAACAAAGAACAAGCTACACGGACAAAGGAAAGTCACTGAAGACACACGCAGGGTGACCAAACACAACACACAAAACCTAACACCCTTGTTAGGAGCCATCGACGCAACCCCGCCAAGCGGAGAAGTGACAGAGTAAACAAGGATGGAGCAGTGACCAAGGGTGGCACATGCACAAGATGATACAGGAGGAAGCTGAGTACCCAAACGAGCCATAGACATGAAAAAAACCTGATCAATGTCAGAGGAGATAGGAAGCAGAAAGCACTAGGAAGTGATGTGGTGGAGGCAGACTCCACCTACAGGGGTAAACGTAGATAAGACAGAGCCCACGAGGCTCTGGAAACCGCACAACCGGCGACTGACAGGAGAGAGGCGGGGCCAAAGAGCCAGAGCTCAACCTCTGCAAGCACAACTAGGCAAGTACCCCACCAAAAGTCGAGAACCAGCACCTGGCCGACCGAAGCGCCAGACATGACAATCTCACCTGCAGAGCAGAGACACGACCGTGCCACAACGCAGTCGAGCCAAGTAACATACCAGGATTATCGCTAGAGGTGCGCTCGAACGCCATGCATACTAGAGGCAGTAGGCATTGTATGTACTATTACCTGAATAAAATTTGGAAGTTTAAGGTGAAAGACGTCCAGAGGCGCGCGCCCAGCAGAAGACGAGGAGCAGTACAGAGGGGGAGGAGGCATCACTCCGAGCCTCTCCTCACCTGAAAGCAGAGGAAAGAACGAAGTGATGCCCCCCCATATATAACATCCAGAACAACCCCAGCATCTAGAGGGCTATGAATGGAGGGAAAAAACGAGTATGAAGCCGTAGAAAACTGAGAAACGACGCGGAACACACGAGCACCCCGGCCCCAGCGCGTGAGGTACGAAACACCAGGCGGACACACATATTGTACATACACATAACGTACAGACACATTGTATAAACACATCGTACAAACACCAGGAAGGTGCACGTAACGAAGATTGGAGAGACGACTTGAAAACAAAAAAAGGCGAAACCGAAGCGAAAGAAGACAGAGGACAGAAGGAAACCAACGAGGCTGACAAAGGACTAGAGGAAAACCACATCAGTAGTCAACAGACGTTCCAATAATATTGGAAGGTACGAAGAGATGCCCGAACCAACGAGAACCACGACAAGCACAAACGCATGGAGGTACATATGGACAAAAATATACCCCTGATCAAGAGATAAGCAGGGACCCGATACGAAGGGAACAGTATCGCAATGTAAGCGCAAAAAGGGTAAGGAAAAGGGGGCAAAACCCACCCCCAGGAGCAACTGGACCGATGAACCTCAAGGGACACGGAACCGAACCAAGGGAGCGGTAGACCCAAAACCAACATGAACACAGAGGGGGAAGGAACAACCCCACTCTGAAGAACTGCCAGCCCCTTACCGAGGGTACAAAGACCCAAGAGGGGCAAACGGGGCCCGAGGCCTCCCAGGCAATCCCTACCCACCCCGGGAACCTCTACGGCAAGATCCGGGGCCAAGCTGTACCCCCAAAGCCCCAGCTTGACAAGGAAAAGCCGGGACAGCCGTACAAACACTAAGGAAGGGAGCCCACTGGTCAGACACATACGGAACGGCTCGAGGAACTGACTCAAAAGGCTCCGCCGCCACCCTGGAAGAGGAAAACACCCCGAGACCCAACCTAACCAGACCCCACTCCAAACCCCGAAACCTGCCTATGGTTCGGAGCCGGAAGCTAGGGAGGAAGTGTGCAGAACAGAAGGGAAAGGACGATGAGCAGAAGGAGCCAGAGCTGAAGCGACCTCCACCCCTAAATCCGGACCCAAACAACCAAAACGGGGCAGCCTCAGGGAATCCGGGGCCGCTAACAAATACAGTAAGAGCGTTGCCGCAACCTACACCTAGCAAGCAACACCACAGCCGCCTGCACCCGATTATCACGACCAGTGGCCTGGGTGAACGAGAGCACGTACCGACAACACCCATCGCAACACTCCAGGTCATAAGAAACAATGACCCAACAGGCAGCATGGCGGAGGCACAACCGGTGAGTGTCACCCTGAGACAAGGGGACAGAGCAACCGTCAAACTCGCAGGAAGCGAGGGGGGGGGGGACACACCCATAGGACCACAGAGCGCCCGTGGGGTTTTCCAAGGCCCTTAGCCTTGAGTACAGGCTAAGGGAAGCCCAGGCAGGGTACCGCGAACCGGCGCCCAAGTCTACCAAACAAACTTCTAAAAGCTGAACCCCGGGACGTGTCCACTCACGGGGGCCAAACGGGGAGTACCACTAACAGAAAATATCTAAATAAAAATACCTAGAACAGAAAGGGGGGACCACAAAGGCAGACCCCCCCACCCCCACCAGGCAAAAACAAAAGAAAAACCCGCAAGAGGGGCAACGTACCCAGGCAGAAAAGAGCCGGTCGCTGTTATTGGTGAAAACTAGCTGTGCGGTACCCCGCGCCCCTACCAGTGACGAAAACTACCACCTATCCAGAGACAAACCAGGGCAACAAAACCCCAGCCGACTCCAAGGGCGGCCCAGTACCGAGCAGCAAAGAACATAGTGGAGGTAGAACCCAAGGTGACTTGTGGAAGGCGGCCCCAAGCCCCAAGGGCAGTACTTACAGGGCACCTAGGGAAGAGAGCCCTAGGCGCATGCAGCCCGAGTACCATGGAATCTTCCTCCTGGCTCACACCCCCACCGGTAGAGACAGTCCACACCACAAGGCACAGAACTGAAACAAAAACAGGAGCCAGAGGCACTCGACTGGCCAATAATTCCATCAGCCAAGAACTGCCAGTTGGATCGCCGGCGCAGAGGGTCTGGGGTTCCCCCCTTTCCTTTCCCGGGGAGGGGGGGGGGGGTTGTGCAGACGGTGGCACGGCGATGTGATGACGTCATGCTAGTTGTATAATTTTGTTTGGGGAGTTCTGTCCACTCGTTCGGCTTTCGGTAGCAATATTTTCAACAGAATAGGGTTTGTTTTGGGGCGCCTACCTTTCTGGGTGCCTATCCTGATCAATGGCAGACATAGGGTGCTCCCAACCACAGGGGGCTTTCTATAGGCCATTGCTCCTCGTGCCTCTCTGAGGGGGGCCAGGTTCTGGTTCATGGTCCCCGGTAGGCAAGAACTCCTAGCACTTTGACTGATGCCAGAAAGTTATACATATCCATTCAGCCTGGATAGCTCCGGGGAGCCGATAGGGCTCCCCTCAGAAATATAGCCTTCAAGAAACAATCCTTAACTGAAGGGGCCACAAATAAACGAGAGAAAGAATCTGGTCTAGAAACCGTGCAGACTCAAGTCGGTGCATGAGCAGGTTAGAGGTGAAACAAAGCCCGAGATAGCTTGCGAAACTGGGCTGAAGACGTGCCAATCCTAAATGCAAGCAGTAGCAGCTCCGCCAACGCTGCACAATAAGAGGTGACAGTATCCAGCATGAGTTCAAGAAACAGCCAAGAAAGAACAAAACAACCTGTTCAGAGACAGAAGAGAATAATGAAGGGATAGAAAATGAAGAAAAGGCTGCCAAGATGCCTCATACTGTCACCGAGAAGAAGACTGCAGGTGGGTCACCATCAAACCAGCCCTGAAGACCATACAGTTGATAAATATGCCTATAAAATTCCAGACGCTTAGAGCGGAAGAGGAAAGCTGAACCAGCAAGGTATGTCAGTTGCCTAACCTTCTGAAAGAGGCGGAGTCACAGATAAATGCCTAGGTTTAGACAAAGTGCAAGCAGCACTAGAAACCAAGGCTCAAGGAAGCCAAACGATGCCCCAAGCAGTGTATGGGTTAATGTTCCCAGGCCCCCAGCATTCTTGTTTGGCCTTGGGTCATGTCTTTCAGCCAGATGTCTCCTCTTCATCATGTTTCTGTGGGGCTTCCTCCTCCCTGGTAATTGGCTGTTTGCTTTTCTTCTCCGTGGTTAGTTATTTTCAGAAAGCCATAAGGGATTCCACCCAGAAAACCAGAAAAGAATGCAATGCAAAGCCAATTTCTGGGAGAGCCCTATTGCTCCCTGATTCCCTCCCTTCCTTCCAGGTTGTTGACAGGGATGGGGCTGGGGGTGGGAGAGAGGGGTTAGCTACAATTGCCTAGAAGCAGACGAGGAGTCACAATAACGTGTCAGAAATATGTTGACGATTGTTCTTTTGCCTAGAACTGAGGGTGGAGATGCAGGTTGACTTTGAGCTGCCTCCCCCTTTCCCAAATGAGTAGGGAAGATGGGGTGAACGAGCTAAAATCTTCAGCACTAACAGATACAGTATTCAAGCAGGTTGAGGAGGGCTTAATTTACATTCTCTAGTAAGGCAAAGAGTTAAAAGGTGACATGATTAAAGTGCACAAGTAAATGAATGGGCATAATAAGGTTGATAAATATATGTAAAAGAAAAATAGAACACGAAACCGTGGCTCTAAACTGGACAGGTTTAGATTTGGGAACCACTTTGGTAAATACTGGTTTGGAAACAGGGTTGTTGATTTCTTGATCAGATTACTGGGTAACAAAATATATGTACTCACCTAGATGTGGGATCACTTGATTGTTTCAAGCATAGGTTAGCTTAAATACATAAATTATGTTGGGTGCATATAAACGGGAGCTGCTACATATGGGCCAATAGACCTTCTGCAGTTTCCCTAATTCTTATGTTATGCTAATATGGATAAACCTAGTTACAGTTTGATTAAAATATTTACCAAGAATGTCTTGACAAAGTCGCTGGGTTGTAGTAAAACGCTGGTCATCCGGCATGTGATCCAGCATGAAGCGGTATATCGTGTGACGTTCTCTCAAGTGTTCTTTTCCAGAGAGGGAGAACAATTCCTTCTCAACAGAGCTCTGTGTAAATCTGTTGTAAGTTTCATGCTCCTGGAATAAAATACAAATTTACAATTTAGTATTTCACCAACAAAATTTAGCATTGAGGATAATGGAATGCCTCCTTCTGGTAGCCACTCAGTAGCACCCTAAAAGTACCGCTTGCAATTATCCAAATGTTAAGGAACACACCAGATCACTATGAACCAAAAGCACCTACACTCCCCAACGTAACTGCTGGACCTCAATCTTTTGTTTATTCCAACTACTCGTTAGCTGTCCGGTCCCAAGTGATGCCTCAACTCATGAGAGGCCTATGTAGTTTCACAGTCAACCACCGCATCGCCACAGCACGACCGCTGCACCTGCTCGACGACCCAGTATTGTTTTTGTGGCTGCCCGTGGCGTACAAAGACTTTCCCCCCCCCTTACCATTTTATATCTGTGCATATTTTTCGCATCCTGGTACTGTGGCATCAGGAGCTGCAGGAAATCTGTTGTTCAGGGCTTCAATGAGCGGTAGAGCCAAGAGAAAACACACTGTGATGACTTTTGAACAAAAAGTTCAGCTTATAAATGAAGTTGAAACTGGAATTCCTCAAAGTGTTGTGTGCACCAAGTGTGCCTTGAAAAATAAAAAAAAAAGAGTTTTCTCGGTTGGCGCAGTTTCCCACCGATCGAGAATACTTGGTTGACACAGTTAGGTGGTTAAAGTCGAAGGCAACGGGAATTGAATGTTATATCTGTAAGAATAGATTTCATTTGGCTTGTACAGGAATAACACCACGGGACTGAGAGCTGGCCATTTGCTCTGGGTGTGTAAAAATAGCCTGCGAACTTGGAATATCCTAAGAAATCTTCTAGATAACATGATGCATGAACAGAAAACATCGTTCATTGAAAGCCTACCAGCCATCCAGAAAGAGTGGGAAAGGAAACACAATAATTCTAACATAGCAGGGGAAGAGGCTATAGTCAGGGATGAAACTGGAGCAGAAACTCAGGAAGTTGTAAACTCTGACTCAGTATGCCAGTAAACTAGAAAGTGTAACAGACAGCACTGACAGCTCGATAGATAAGGACACTACAACGGTCCCCAATAGAGCGAGTCAGACCAGAAGGACAGACTCGTGCAAATTTTATGTAAAGGGCATATGCAGACATAGATATGCTGGTAATAAGAAAGGATTAGAATGCAGTTACCAACATCCCAAAAAATGTTTAAATATGCTTAGGAAAGGTGAGTGTCGATTTGGATCAATATGTAGGTTTTTCCACCCTGACATGTGCCAAACCTCACTGGAGGACAGAAAATGCTATGACCTCAGCTGCCCATACTTTCACGTGAAAGGCACAGAATGCTACATAAAGAGTGGCAAGCAGGATAATGAATTTGGAGGAAACTCGATAAATTTTTTATACCAAACCGAAAGAGAATTCAAAAGGAGGAGCATGGAGAGTGTATGGAACTGGATGACAGACCCACTTGCATTCCAGAATTACAGATACAATTATACACCGAAAGGGAACTACAACTACGACAGGCAACTGCCCTACAACAATCAGCACTGCTCAGAACAAACTTAATATGTCCAAAAATAATGGCTTGCCAAAAAAGTCTCCCAGTCCAACCATCCCTAATAGAGTATCCTCATTCATCTTTGAAACCATACAAGGACTAAAAACAAGAACAAACAACAAAGTACAGTTCATAAATGGCCTCCTCACGGAGTCAAATGCAGTATTTGGAGCTGTCACAGAAACCCATGCAGGGGAATTGTTGGACAGTGAGATCTGGATTCCAGGATATAACCTATACAGGTGTGATAGATTAGGTCACATGGAGGAGTGGGTAGGTATATTAGGGAAGACCTTGTATGCTTGGAGCTCCTTAACGTTACAAATGAGGTGGTAGAGGTACTGGGAGTAAAAATAGAGAAAATAAACTTAGTGATTATTCTAATATACAAACCACCAGATGCAATGCCCAAAAAATTCACAGAACAGATAAACAAAATAGAGAATAGCCTTGATAATTTGGCAAACCCGATACCTGATATCATCTTCCTAAATGACTTTAACTTGCCTAATCTAAGATGGAGAATAGCAAACAATATTATTATACCAGGAAATCCATCGGGACCTAACCAACCACAGATTAGAGAACTACACTGGTACCTCGGAATACGAGTGTCCCTGTATACGAGTTTTTCGGAATACAAGCAGGGTTTCGTCGATAGCCGAAATACAATCGTCGCCCCTCACCCCTCAGTTTACTAGTGCCTCGCGCCCAGTGACTATCCCGCATCAATTCTTCACACGAATTTCAGTGTTTTGTTATATTTTTGGTCATTTGACCATAAAAGCTGTTATTATATATCTCACCATGGGTCCCATGAAAGCCAGTGGTAAGGATCAAGGCAAGAAAGCGCATGTGAGGATGACAATAGAGGAAAAACAAGAAATCATTCGGAAGCATGAAAATGGTACATGTGTTGTTGAACTTTGTAGGCAGTACAACAAAGCCACGTCAACGATATGCACTATACTTAGCAAGAAAAAGGACATAATGAGTGCTAAAGTGGCAAAAGGCATAAGAACAATCACAAAACAAAGACCACAAATACTTGAGGAAGTGGAAAAGTTGTTATTAATTTGGATACACAAGAAGATAGCGAGTGATAGTGTTTCGGAGGCCATCATTTGTGAGAAAGCCAGGGTATTGCATGAAGACTTTGTAAACCCTTGTGTGGCTCCTGGCTATTTAGCATTTGTCACCCACAGGCGCATAAAAAAAAAAAAAAAAAAAAAAAAAAAAAAAAAAAAAAAAAAAAAAAAAAAAAAAAAAAAAAAAAACTTCTAAACCTGTTAATTTGTGTTCTTTGATCATGGCAAAATAATAAAAAAATCGTAAGTGGCATATATTGCCCGCTATAGGGTGGAAAAGTCTGGCAAAAAAGCAGCGTTGAATGTAATGAAACGCCACTTTCTGGGTGAGCCCCGGAGGCTCCCTGGAGCTTATCGGGCTAATGTATGTTATATTAAACCGGGACATTAGCTAAGGAGTTCAGACCTACCAGGGACCAGTGCCAGAACCTGGCCCCTTCAGAGAGGTTTCAGGGAGCAATGGCCCTGGAAAACCCCTTGTGGTTGGGGTTTTCCTTATCTGCCATCGACCGGGGTTAGGCACCCAGGTAGGTAGGCATAACAAAACAAACCCCACATGGTAAAAAACTAAAACAAAAACCGAACATAGAGGTAGAAACTCCCTACAATCACAAGGAAACAAGCAAACAAGCAAACATCACACTTTACTGCCACGCCGATCGTCCGCGCAGCCCTCCCCGCCTCGGGAGGGGGAGGGGGGAGCCCCGGACCTACCGCGCCGGCTGCCAAGCTCCAGTTCGGAAGCTAAGCTTCAACCAACGCGAAAAAACCGCCGACCGGTGGGAGGGAGGGTTTCCAGGGAGCCTCCGGGGCTCACCCAGAAAATGGCGTTTTATTACATTCAACGCTGGTTTTCTGTGGGGAGCCCCTACGGCTCCCTGGAGCTTCATACCCAAAGAGAAGGAAAAGAAAGGGCTAACCCGGGAGGCGGCCGCCACAAACTCTGCAACGCAAAGCCAAGACAACCGGTCGCAAACCTGCGACCCAAGGCAACAAGAACGCCCAAGAACAGACGCACATATGGATGGGCGACCAAAAACCCGTGCTACCCACAAATCCCTGCGCCAGAAATGAGCCCGAGACGTCACCAACACAGCAGCAAAAGCTGCAAACGTCTGAACAGCACGGGTGCAAAGACAGACCGCAGGCTGGAAGAAGGAAAACACTGCGGACGACCTGGGAGACCCGAGCCCTGAAAACAGGGAACGAAGGAACCGGATCAACCACAGCGCATCCCCAGACACGGTACGCCGGCAACAGCAAAAAGCACAACCGGACAACACAGGACGCACCCCCCGTCCAAACCAATCAAGCACCAATACCCCAAGAACCCCTCCGGAAAGCAGCCGTCACGACCGGCGCCAGGACAGAGAAAGGCTGCACACCTATAAAGCTACCACCAGTACCAAAGAGCAGGAAACTGAACCGAAGGGGCTACCACAAACTGAGGGGAAGATAAGAAGGCACCCTGAACAAGAACCAGGATGGCACAGGCGACGCATGAGCAGGCCGGAGGGGAAACAAAACACGAGAAAACGTATGAAACGCCATACTGTCGCCAAGACGAAGCTCGCAGGTGGGACACCGTCAACAAAGCCACCTGAACACCATAGAGATGGTGATACCCGCGTCAAAATACCAGACGCGAAGAGCCAAGGAGAAGGCCGAACCAGTCACGGACAGGACCGATTCGGCCTGCTGAAAGAGGCAGAGCCTCAGGAAAAACGCCCCGGGTACGGACACCTGTCAAGCAACGTCTGAAAAGAAGGCCGGGTCGGCCACCATGGAACCATAAGGACTGCTCTCGTGGAAAGGGCTGCAACCGAGCCAGAATCCGAAGCAACAGCTGGACCGGGAGAAGAGGAACAGGTACCCCCCACCTCGACCAGTCCTGCCGAAAGCATCCACCGTGAAGTCCTCGCAGGTGGGAAAGGGCGCCACAAAATGGGCGACGCCTAGACCACGCTGACCCGAAGACGTCCATGGCCAGGAGTCCATACGCCCGACAGAGCCAACAAAACGAATCGGCGACGACTGGCCAACCCACGAAGAGGAATGAACCGAGACAGCTGTCCGCCAGGATGCAGGACACACCCCGGACACGAACCTCAAGGTTAGCCAAACCCCTGTGGTTCCGGCAAGAACCACCAGAAAACAGTCCGAACAGAGTTGAATGGTAGAGCACCTAGTGACCCAAACCCTCTGAAGCGCAAACCAGACAGCCACGAACACCCGAACCGTGCTGTGAGCCCGACGGACAGAGACTCCATCAACCTCGGCCGACCTGGTGAGCACTGGTCACAAAGCCCCAGCCGAGAGACGACCCGTCCGTGAACACATCGAGTGAAGGCTCGGGGAGGTGCCAAGACACGGAACCCCGAAAA